GCCTTGTGGGTCAGCTCGCTAGCCTGGAATCAAACTTGTACTGCAGTGACGCTGAAAGGTGCTGTGCTTTAACCTGTTGTGCCACCAGGGAGGGCCCTAGCTTGAGATTTCAAAGTAAACTGTTGAAGCCCAGTGAGGTCTCTCCTTGCTACTTACAGTAAGATGCAAAAAAGAGGGAAATAAATGGAAAATTGTTAAATGAAAAGGAACCAAAACTTGAAGATTTGGCATTTTCAGTCTGTCCATGTTAGAAAAAAATAAGAATAGATGTTCTGAAGAAAATCCAGGATGTAGCTCAACATCATTTGCTAAAGATGTTACAGCAGCGACTCATGCAAATATCACCTCAGCAGAAGTCAGAAATAGTGATGGGATTTTTTTTTTTTTGTGTGTGTGTGTGTGTGATGGGATTTTAACAGCAGAAACTGCAGCTTTGACTATGGAATCAAAGACCAGACAAAATGAAGAAAGGCTGCTAGATTCTGGAATATAGGGTAGTGGGATAATAGAGCTGTCTAAAGGCAAATGTGCATTGTCCTTGAAGAAAAGTCAAGAATGACTCAAAAGGCAATTCAGAGGTTGGCAGGGCTGTCAGTCCTACCACAGTCCTAGAGGGCACAGACCTAGAGGCTGGAGAAATGTAAGAAACAGCCACCTCTTGGTTTCAGAGGGTGGGGCCACCTGTTGGGTTTCAATAAGCTAAATAGCTTTTGTCCAGGACTTTGGGGTGGGGCTATCATCTGGGTGGGTCCAGAATGGAGTGTCACCACCAGAGGGGGCCTGAATGACAGGACATCAAACCAAAATCCTTAAAATCTAATAGGATTTTCCCTGCTAGATTTTGAAGTTATTTTGTACCTTTAAGTCCTTTCTAATTTATCCTCTTTGGAATGGGAATGTCAATTTATGCCTGCCCCATCACTGTGTTTTGAAAGCAAATAACTTTTCTGGTTCCACAGGTTTATAGAATGAGGCGAATATTGCTTTAGGATGAATCATAACAAGTCTCACCCACACTACGTTTAGGTGAGATTTAGATGAGATTTAGGTCTTAGAATTAATATAGGAATGAGCTAAAACTTCGAGGCAGTTATGATTGTATTTTGGATATGAGAAAAACATGAATTATGGAAGTCTAAAATAAAACAAATGAAATTCTAGAACTAAAAGTGTAATAAGTGAGGTGAGGAATTTACTAGAGGGATTCAATGGTAAATTTGAGTATGAAGGAGAAAGAATCAGCAAACTTGAAAATAGGACTGAAATTATTGAGACTGAGGAACAAAGAAAAAAGTGAACAGCGCCTAAGGGCTGTGCAGAACACCATCAAAGTGACCAACATACTCACTGCTGAGTCTTAAGGGGATAAGAAAGAAAATTAGCAGAGAGAATATTAAAGAAATAGTGGTTAAAATCACGTCAATTTATTGAGAAACACGCATATAAAGACCTATACTGAGACACATTACAAACTGTTGAAAGAAAATTCTGAAAGCAATAGGAAATGAGTCATGACATCTATGGGATCCTCAATAAAACCTTAAACACCCATTATTAACATGCCATACCTGACTTATTTTTTGTTACAATTGATGAACCTACAATACGTTGTCATCATCCATAGTCTGGTTTGCATTAGGGTTCACTCTTGGTGTAGTACATCTTTAGCTTTGGACAAATACATTATGCTGTGTATGCAACATTAGTATCACAAAGAGCATTTTCACCACCTTAAAAAATCCCCTTCAGGCCCTCCCTGGTGGTGCAACGGGTTAAAGCACAGCACTAAGAAGCTTAAGCCACTTCCCCATGAGTTCAATCCCCACCTGCCCCGGAGGAGATCCACATGGCGTGGCAGACCTCTCCTGACCCGCCCGCTGCTCCCCTCAGCAGTGTGCTTCGTCGATCTGCCTGTTCTGTACCCCACTCTGTCTCTGGTGAATCCTCTCACCCTCCGCATCTCTGGCCTATACCCCAGTTCTGTATGAATAAATGAATAAATCTTTTAAAAAAAATCCCCTTCAATTCTGGGCAACCACTGATCTTTTCACTGTATCTGTTACCTTCTCTCCCCACTTCCCCACTTCTCCTTTTGTCCATTGTCTTTTTCAGAGTGTCATATAGTTGGAAGAGGTATACTGTGCCATGTGAGTCACCTTCCTGGCCAGGGACTGGAACTCTTGCGGAAGCAGCAGTGGCTAGCTTCATGGTGTTGTGCATTAACCCCTTGTGCCACTAGGGAGGTTCCTCTGGATGGTTTTTTAATGTGGTTAGAAGATGTTCTAATTTTTCTTTCATCCTTTCTTTTTTCTACCCTTCCTTCTCTCTACATTTTTTTTAATGCAAAAGGAGATAATAATTAGTAAAGTTGGAATCTAGCTGGGACAGAGATGTGGAACAGAAAGCATTTAGTCAAACTCCTTGTACAGGAGTCCAGTGATGGTCTTGGCTTCTGCTTCAGTACTTCTAGTCACTAACTGAGGAGGTGATGGGCCTATCCCACTATATCCAGTTATTCATTTAAACTTTAGGTTGTGAATGAAAAGAATCCAGCTCAAATTGTTTAAGCAAAAGATGGAATTAGCTGGCACTGAAACTGAAATGTGACCAAGTGGTACTTGATGGCTGGCTCCATAACCCTTCCTTGCCATTTGTTAACTGTCTCCCTTGGTGGCCACCATTTGAGGTGCCTGGATGACTCTTCACAGCATGTGAAGACCTCCAAGCGTTTCAGTCACCCAGCTGAGGATGATGTTCCCCTTAATCATATCAACACAGTGAAAGGAGTTACACTAATGGACTAACTTGGATCATCTCCCTTTGCCTTCAGAACTAATCAATGAGTTGATATAATTCCAAACGAACATAATTTTGACCAAGGCTGTGGTCATAGGTCTCGATTTGATATTAGAAATTGAGTTAATTGAAGTCAGATTACATGGGTTGATGAAAGGACAGGCACTTTCCCTAAAAAAGTAGGCTGGTATTATAATGAGGGGTATAGCTCCAGGGAACAACAAACTGACAAAGCTGTCCTTTCACCCATACTTTGCTGACGTCTGTCTGTCCTTTTTTTTTTTTTGCTCACGTATTTCTTTTACAGTACTTCCTTCTTTTCTTCTAGTCCCTGCGGATGTTTTCCCTAGTTACCTCATTGTAATTCTTCCAAAGCACCTGTCCTTTTGCCTGTAGTCAGTGATATACCTAGTGGGGGGTGAAATGGGCACAGCCCATTCCAAATGTATTATCTGTGCAGACTTGAAAAACAACCATGAAAGCACAATTTAATCTTTCCATTGTCATCATACTATAATAATTCTAAACAATGTCAGGATAAGATAGTCCTTAGGAGAAAAAGACAAAAACAAGAGACACTATTTCTAGTACCACCAAGGCTTCATTAAGGAAATATCTTAATATTTAGTAATCTGACTCCAATTCTTTCATGAATGCTGAGAAATTCAATCTCAGGTATATTTAGGTTCCCTGGCATTATGGGGGTATGGGGAAGGTCTGGACTTCCTGTGACCAGTAAGGTCTCAAAGAGCCTGTGAGTGACTCTTTCTCCCTGGGATTACTTAGCTCTGGGAGTGTTGAGCAGGAACAGCTCATTTCTTAACCACCCCTGGGAGGATACTGAGTAACCTCCTAACAGAGCCAATTCTTTGGAGGCTCCAGGTGAAGAAGAGATGCTCAATGCTAACAGTTCATTTTCCTGCCTTGCTGGCTTCATTTCATTGGTATTCCCAAGACCTTCCCACAATGCCTACTAGTGCTCTAAGTTGTTCTTAGAGTGGGGCCTAAAGGTCTTTTTGTTGAACCACATACCTACATGAGGGTGGATTGTCTTCATACCTTTCAGTGAAAGCAATATAACAGTTGAAATGCAGAAGCAGATAAAAAAAAGAACTGTTTTCTCTAAAGCCAGACTTTAAAGAGATGTGCAAAAATGTAAAACAGCTGTAACTCTTTTCTATTTTTGAAAGTATAGCTAACTTTAAAAAAGTGTAATTTGTTATTTTTAAATGAAAAGTTCTTTCAGTTTTAATGTACCTTTTGGTCAACGTTGAAAAATTTAAACCACACCGGCAAAAGTTTTTGGAACCCCCTAATCACTTGTATTTTAACGTGGTTCTGAGACTAATCCTCAGGAATACAATCAGGTGGTGTCATTCACACTTCATCAATGAATAAACCATGGCTTGAAAAAGGGAAGAGATCTGCTCTCTGCCGCACCAATATTACATGTCTATGGTAGGATTCCAACATCTAGCCTCATATTCAAGATGCTTCTCTATTTCGATGAAACCCACTCCTCACACAAAAAGACCACTAAGAAGTCCAGTCGCCTCTCTGGGCCACGTTTTCTCACCTGTAAAGTGTATAGTTCTCTACCTCACGAGACTGCTGGGTTAATTCTGCGTCAAGTAACGAGTAAACGGTGTTATTAACCCCATAAAGGTGTGTCACATGCCATGCTACAGAAAACTGAGGGTCAGGGACAGGTGCCTTGTGGCGGTTCCAGCTAGAGGTGCTTAGCTTCCAGCTTCGCGTCAGGCTAGTCCGACTGTCCCCCACTTCCAACGCTTCAAGCCCGAGTGGCCACCTTTCCTATACCTCATACATCCTAGGGTCTAATACCCAGATCCCACTTAAGACCAATAGTCTCAAGGTGCCTAGCTCCCAGGTGGCGAGCTACATCACTGCGGGGGCCGGGCAGACGCCAACCCCTCCTGTTTGCCTCATTTCCGGCACCAAGAACCGGAAGTCCCTCTTGCCGTTCTCAAGACCGCGCTCCGGAAATGAGTCGCGTTGCCACTATCTAAGATGGCCAACAAACCATCATTCACCGTAGTTAAATGGAAGAGAAGCGAGCAAAACCCGGAAGTTGCCCGGTTCTAGTATGGCAGCCATAGGGGGCGTGGCTTCCGGCGACCCGCGTCTGCGAGTCCCCGCCACTGGGTCGAGCGGAGGCGGTGGCTGACAGGCGCTCCTCCCCCGACGGCGGCGGCTGGTGCCCAGGCGGGACTGGCGGCTACCAGCTCGCTATCCCGCGAGGCGCGAGGGCCGTATCGGGGGATGGACGAAGAGAAGATGGACGAGAATGAATGGGGATACCACGGCGAAGGCAACAAGAGCCTGGTGGTGGCCCACGCACAGGTGAGCAGCGGACCGTCGGCGTGGTCATGGGCCCTTACCCTGCGTGGGGTCGGTTCCGCTTGCCCCACATCACACCCTTGGGTTGGTTCCACGCCCCACGCTTTCTTGTCCCTTGGGTAGGTTCCTCATCTCCCGGTTTTATCTACTGGGATGGGTTCCGCGTCCTGCCAGCATCATTCCTCCAACCCCCAACCCGGTTGTGTTCCACGTTCCCCACTTCCCTCCTCCCCGTCCCTCTCCTCCCCGCCCCCCGGGTGATTTATTTCCTCGTCCCCTGAGCATTATTCTGCCTCCTCTGTCCGGGTCGCTTCTGTGCCCCACCGGCACCTGGCCTTTCACTGGATCGGTACCACGTGCGAACTCAACGACGTGCCGCCTCCAGCTGCCCTGCCGCGTTGGGCGGAGGTTGTGTAGTGAGGACTCCCGTGTTAGCTTCAGCCAGTGCGGAAGGCCAGAGCGGCCCTGGAGGGAGAATTGAAGTTCCTGGCATATTGTTACCTCCAAACACCAATTTCAGCTTTGTGATACACGTGGGATTGCTCTTCTGACTTCTGCTGTTAATAATAATGGAGCATTGCTCACAGGTTCTTCTCCATAATCTTTTAGAACTTAGAGTTTCCTTTCTTAATTCATTGAGAGAGTGAGAGTTTCAGAAAGTTTAATAAAGACCCCCAAGGAGGTGAATCCAGGAAGACGAACATGTGAATTTGTGTAGGGGCACAGGTCTCTGATATTTTGCTGTCTGATACAACTAGGCAGGAATATGGTAGGCTGGGGAGGTGAGGGAGATGATAGGTATTGTGAGGGGTTAAGAGTAATCGAGTTGGAGTTACACTTTACTGGGTGGAGTCCTAATTTTACCACTGTCTATCTGAGGCTCCCCTTTCTGCATTTGCAGAGTGGAACTAGTAACAGAATTCTCTTTGAGGAACTGCTCCAAAGATGAAGATGGGCAGGAGGTGGATAAGCTATGCCTAAGAAGTCAAACTGCCCATCTCAGAGGAGAACTCAGAGGCTAAGAGCCAAGACTGAGTATGGCAGCTTGTGCTGGCCTTGAATGGGCTCTGCTCTGTTTTCCCAGTGTTGGGTGCATTGGGTTGGCTCTAAGGTAAGCTGCAATCTACCAGGTGGCCTTTATTGACTGCCTTTAGGCTTTGTTATCCATTAGGACAATTGAGAAATTAAAGAACTGAGACAGCAGACTTTGCTTAAGATCTGTAGTTGCATTAATAATGGACAAGGCCTGTCCTGAGGCCTCTGTGAAGTCTGCTGGCTACCTTGTGTTTCAAGGTCAGGTAAAGTTTGTTATGGGTCACATTTGTTGTTGGGTTATTTTGGCAATCCCTGAATACATTCAAAGACATACTTGCCTTCCAATAGTAAGACTGGATGGTGTGTCCGCATTTTATATAAAACTTAAGAATTCTTTTAGTAAGGTATATGTACTGAGTTCCAAAATAGTGTCAAATGAAGGAGTAAGCTCCAGACTGGAGTAAAGGACACTCAGGAAGAGCCTTCACTGTCTTTTCCACCAGCTTTCCAAGTGAGCGTTCACCTGTAGGGCAGTTCCCCCCATCCACCCTTCAATGTGTGTTTCTTTTCCCTTTCAAATTCCTGGCTTCCATGGACCTGTGCTCATTCTTTAAGTGTAAATTTGTTCTGCTATGCTCATTCGTGCTTGGTGGTTGTTGGCTCATCATTTGAACTTTAAGATAATTATTGCAAGTAGTCTTATACAAAAATGTTTGCAGTTAGTGAAGGGAGAACAGTGTCCCTTGCTTCTGGAGAAACCTTTGTTCTTCTTGGGCCTGGGCAACTGAGGAGGGGCAGAGAGCCTGGTACACAGCTTTTCAGGGCCCCAGTGTGCCCATGTGAGCATATGTGTGAATGGAACAAAGGAGACAAGTGAGAACAATAGTGGCCTTTCCAAGTTTGTCTCTTTCTTTAGAGAAGGCATCCTTTACTCCCAGAATTAAAAGGCTTGTTCTCTCTTCTGTTGTTTTGAGGCCTAGTGTACCTGCACTGGAACACTATAAGAGAGACTGAGTCAGAGTAACATCTTTTCTGGACTAGTGGATCAGGGGAGGCTTCCAAAATTCTGGACTTGTAGAAAGCAGGACCTGGAGCTAGGGGAGCTTAGTACATACAGCAGCAGGAGGGGGTAGGATTGGGCAGTAAGAGGACAATGAGACCCTAACAAAGGCCCATTCCCAACAGGTCACCATCAGCTTCCCTCGAGCCCCTTCACACAAAGGAGATGGCCTGTTTGTATCACTCAGCCTGGTGCCCAGCACCTTGGGTACAGTGGCGCAGTCAGTCCTCTCCCAGGCACAGGCCACAGTACTCTGGGCTATCCTGGCTTGGGATTTGTGGGTACCTGGAGTCCCAGGTACTGACCTTGTGGAAGGGTCTTGGGCATGGGCATTTCCCTATGGCACATGTTTTGCTTACTTCAGCTGACAATGCTGTCACTTGTTCAGTGGCTACAGCATACCTACTGCTCAAGCTGAGCTATGGTCACTGAAACTGAGGCTGCTGAGTTGGCTTTGTCTCCTATGGGGCGCTTTCCTCACCTTCTTATGTCTTGTTGGCTTAGGTTCAGCATCCTGTCCTGTGAAGGTCACTCTAAGTCTGGTTTGTCATTTGATCTCTTAAGTGCCTTTAGTGGAGGGAGTGGATGGGGCAGGCAGGGCAGCTAGCCCTCTCTGGGCACAGGGTGCAGGGTGCCCACTTGCTATACCCTGCATTACACTGAGCAGTTGTGACTTTTTCCTTTTTGACAGAGGTCGTGTAAAAGTCCTCTGTCAAAAGAACCTTTATTGAGAGCATGGAGGAAGTGCTTATTCTGATCTTTCAGGTTTTGTAGCCTAAGATTCTGGTCCCTTTCTGTGATATGATGTTCTGGTTCATGAAAAGGTAGTTTCAAGTGTTGTCTGGTGTTTTCTCATCTTGTGCTGTAGGATTTCTGGTTTATATGTCATTCTTCTTAATGAAGATGTTGCAAATAAGTATTACATTCTAGATTTTTTTTTTTGGAATATGGCATATTCCCAAGTCTAGGCCACCCACTTTTTGAATTTTATCCTGATTGTAGTTTAGAAACTTAAGTTTTAGTTGCCTTTTTATAAAAAAACAAGTAATTTATTTTGTATTTGAGATTTTTAAAGGTAATCTTCCAAGTTGGTGAGCTGCTGTGACTTCTGTCTTGGGTGAGCTCATGGAGCCTCACAGAGAGCTATGTGTTTGCCTGTCTTTGTTTATTCCTGGAATTATCTGCAATTGAATGGCAGCTCTACAGTTAGGATTTGTTATTTTCAAACCGTATTCCCCTTGGTGATTTCCAGCCCTATGACTGGGCTGGGCCTTGTCAAGTGCGAAGCGCCGCCTTCTTAGTGTTTGAGATGCTGTTTGTCCAGGCCTGGCCTTCTGGGTGGCGTGACTGCTCCCCATCCAGGACTCCTTTTTCTCAGAGCTCGCTCAGGACAGCAGTGGCCCTGTTTACTTCTGTCTGCTGGGAGATGGGACACCAAGAAGGCTGGGTGTGCTGCTGCAGTAGGATGAGTGTGTCTGTACATCTGCTTGGAGCCATCATGTGGCCTGGGGTGTTTGGGAGGCCTTGAGGTCCCTGCAGACCTGTGCATGCTGCTCAGGACACTCACTGTGTTTCTGTGCTTTGTGGTTTGTCTTTAGAACTCTGCTTGTCTGGCTGGCAGGTTTTTGATCCTTAGGAACCACCTGAGTGTCCTGTTCTCAAATGTTACTGGGCTTACACTTCCTCCATCCCGTCCCCTGCCTCAGAGCATGAATTTGTTTTCATTTCAGTCTAGAGACAGCTGGGGGTCCAGATGGGGGTCCAGATGGGGCAGTGGGAACTGGGGAAGAAAAGTGTGTTGCCATCCCAGGCACCGCTGTCCTTACCTGTAAACTGTTACTTCTGTGTGGTCTCCCTGAATAGCCTTGGCTCCCTTGATGAGACATCTTGTGATTCCACTTCTCACCTGCTGGATGTCCATTTCTCTGAGGCATCCTGTCCACTTTTGTCCCCCTCTTACCCACTGTTTGTTGAGAAAGGCTTTCTTGGGTGGTGCCTCATCTTCCCTGACAGGCTGTGCCATTTAAGGAAGTCTTGGACTGCATCTAATAAGTGATTCCTTCTGTTATATTTGTCTGTCTTCCTTTCTCTCAAAAGTTGCCTGATCTATACCTTCTTGGGGTTTCTTTGAGCCCCTTCCTGGTTCACCTCTCCCTCTGCAGGAGATTCAGTCTGGGACTGTCTTCTTGCAGGCTAGCTGTGGTGTGAGACACTGATTAATGCCCATAAGTTCACTCCTTCAGTCTTTCTTGGCAGGGATGGGAGGCAGGTGTCACTTTTAATGTATTATCTTATGTGGTTTTCGATTATTATTTAACACTGCATTTACTTGCAGTATGTTCTTTTGTTCGCTAGTCACGAATATTGCCTGTTTTCATTATTGCTTTTTCATAGAAGCTTACAACAAAAATATGTAGAATCTGTAGAAACGTGCACATGCACATCAACATTTAACCCCTTTCTTTAAGGCCATCGATCCTTTAGTGACTAAAGTTCCTTTTTTGTGCTTTGAGAGTGATAATGAGCAGGTTTGTTGAATGTTTGACCACTTGAGTGGTTCTCAGAGGCGATCCAGTTTCTCAGAGGGGCCTGAGGGTTGTGCCTGTCCATGTCCTTGGCATGGGCCTGGGACTCTCCAAAGCACAGTGCTCTAAGTGATGTCACACCCAGTTAACTCCCCTCATTTTGAGGTTGTGTGATGTGCTGATGTGTTTGTATGTGTTCAACTTGTTAAAATCTTTTGTTCTTGGGCCCTCCCTGGTGGCATAGTGGGTTAAAGCACAACACTGCAAGCTAGCCACAGTCGCTTCAGTGTGTGTTCGATCCCTGGCCCCAGAGGCGATCCACATGGCACAGCAGATCTCTCCTCTCTCACCTGCTGCTCCCCTCAGCAGTGTATTTCGCCAATCTGCTTATTCTGCTCCCCACTCTGTCTCTGGTGAATCCTTTTATTGCCCTTGCACCTCTGGCCTGTACCCCAGTTCTGTATGCATAAATAAGTAAATCTTTAAAAAAATAATTCTGATAATATTTTAAAAAATCCTTTGTTCTCATACATTGTTCAGGGTGTGAACAGGTGCTCTATACATCTGTTATCAAGGACAGAAAAGGGGCCTGACCCCAGGACTGCAGAAACACTTAGTCCCTCAGCCATGTCCTTTCCACTACCTTAGCATTTGATCTTAGACATTAGACATTTGGTTTTAGAGGGAAAATAGTTATTTCCTTCACAGCTGGAAAGATCTATTTGGGCTGGGGGCATCCTGGGGTTTACCAGGCTTCATGATGGGAAATCCATGTAGCTACCCCAGTGCAGATCTGTATGGGTGGCTCTGGGACTAACATGTCTTTGTCTTCTGTCTGTGGTTGGAGTCTCACATCCTAACTCTCAGAGCTCTCTAGTAGGTGTGACTTCCCAATCTCATTCTGCCTAGAGTTTCATCTTCCTCCAGGAGTGGAACTCTTCCAGTCAGAATTACTCTCCATTACTAGGACTACTCCTGCCTCCAAGCTATTTCTTTGGAGGGTGCTGTCTCAAATGCTATGCTTGTTTAAGAGTTGTTTTTTTTTTAAAACTGACTCAGTTTTGAACCTTATGCAAGTATAATTATACCCACATGTCACTTGTCTGTGTTTGTAGTCAACGTGTATGAACAGGGGTTCATTCTGTAAGCACTACTCCGTAGCTGTTTCATTTTCAGTAGAGCATAGGCTGTACCTCGGTGCATATAAATGTCCATTGTCCTTGTTTTCTTATAATTGGTGGCACATATTCCATGTTCCAGAATGTATTCCATGTTGCATTGTACTTCCCATCCCATTGTTTGGAATTACACACAAGTCTTAACTGTAGCTGGTAAGATCATTTGTACATCCTTAATAAATCTTTTAAGATAAATTCCTGGCAATGGGTTGGCCAGGGCAGAGGGCATAGTTTTTCCTGCTTTCCCTCTGACTCTACTGTGTCCTTGGGTGTGACTCGTGCTGGCCTCCCCTTCCTGGAGCATGGGTGTCCCAGCCAGCTACTCCACAGCCACTTACCCTTCCTGGACTTTGGGCAGTTGCTAATCAGTCTCTGCTTTGTTTCCAATAGCGTTGTGTGGTGCTACGTTTTCTGAAGTTTCCTCCAAATAGGAAGAAGGTAAGATTGTCAGGTTTACCACTTAGTAACTAAAGCAATTATTTAAGAAAACTTTGGTTATTTTTCTTGACCCAGAAGTATCGTGTTAATCACAGAAATTTAAAAATGATGCAAGCATTTTCTGCAGTTAGTGATGGGCCATCATTCCTGCTGCACCCAGCACTTTGACCTATTGGGGTCACTGTGCGTCATGTGGTTGGTGAGTCCCTGTCTAGTTCAGAAACCCTGCTTGTGGCAGGGAATCCTATGATCAGCTGTCAGCGTTGCAGTGCTGATTTCCTTACACCCTGTGGCCTTAGTTTCCCATTTTGTAGGATTGTATCTATGAAAGTGAAGTCTGCTACTGCAGTAGACAGCTTTACCAGCCACAACAGGGTGTTCTGCTAGAGCATTGGGTTTCTGTTTGCTGAGTTGTCCAAGTAAATTCCCTTGGATGCCCTCAAAAAGTGTTGTGCCATACACTGGCTGACCTTGCGGGAGATATCACTGTTCAGTTTATCTAAATTGCAGTGGCCTCAGGGAGATATGACTGTTCCTCTTTTGTAGCCCTGCAGGGGGAAGGAGGTACAGCTCTTACCTTAAGAAGGAGAAAAAGCTGAGCTGGCCATGACTGCAGTGGGTAGGGTAAAAATTGGGCACAGACTGTTGGTGTAGGAGATACTGTCACATCTGAGTTACGTGGACAGCCAGAGGGATGTGAGGTGGGGTGGCTGTGGATTGACTTTGGGGATGTAGGCATATAAGGAGTTAGTGTCTTAGAAAGCATGGAGTGGGCAGGGGGCTGTTGGGGCATCTGGGGACACAGTGGTCAGTGCAGAGGACATGTCTGTGGGGAGGAGGCAGGAGGTGTTTCTTGCCTCATCTGCTGAAGGGCAGTGCCAGGGTGTCTTGTTAGTGTTGAGCTTCTAAGTAGAAATTAGAACTCTTGGCTGCCCCCAGCTTCCTGGCTTCCTGCTCTGTCTGCAGAGCACAAGCTTGGGGACACTCAGTGTTCTTCACATTGCCTCTGTCAGCTCTTCCTGTTTAGATTCTTGAGGCACTGTCCTCCAAGGCAGGAGTTTGCCTTGACTTGCCACATATATGATGTAGCGAGCTACCAGCTACATTGTTGGTGGGGAATCGTGGTAATTATGTTGAGAAAAAGAGCTTTTAGTCAGCTTGTGCTACAATTGATTGACCACTCAAAGTTTCTGGGGCCTTCTGCCACTGTTATCCTACTCTTCCCCAGGACCATCAAGTACCCCGACTACTGGAGAGATGTCTACCACCAACTCTTTGGCTCTTCACTTTGGGTCAGGCTGAGAGACAGACCAGCTTCCCTTCTCTCCAGAGTCCCACAGCCTTTCTGCTCTGCAAGAGCCTTGGACTAGGGAGAAAGTAGTTTATTCTATAGTTAGAGGCTGAAAAATACAATCTACCTGGTGGTTTTTAGATAAGAGAGATGGTCAAAATCAGATTTCTCAGAAGGTATGCACAAGCTGTTGTTCAGAGGTGGGGAGGGGGTGGCAGAGCAAATGGGGTTGTAAAATCACATGGGGACCTGGATTAAAGTGCAGAAGTGAATCTGGGGACTTCAGGGGCCATACTTCTCCAGGGGTCAGGCTCTGTGGTGAGGCTCACCAACCTCTGAGACTAGGGCCACCAGCTTCTGTTGTGGCAGCAGATCCGCTCCCTCAGCTACCCCATCCCTGAGTCTTTCTGTGCTTGTCTTTTGTAGACCTCAGAAGAAACATTTCAGCACCTGCAGAACATAGTGGACTTTGGCAAAAATGTCATGAAAGAGTTTTTGGGGGAGGACTATGTTCATTGTGGGGTAAGTGACTTCTGTATATGTAGTCTAATCAGGGTTGTGTTCTGTGTCAGCAATAACCAGCTTCTCAATTATAGTTTGGAATGCGTACTTAATGACAATGCCTTGTGTAGTTATAGTTTCCAGGATCATCTTTGCTGCAATGTGGAGGGAGCACAGCAGATAGGCTTAGCCCATCTTCCAGCTGAGAAGCACCAGAGTCAAAGAAATGGATGAGAGCCCTGCATGCTGGGACCCCAGTTGTCTACCTCTTTGACCCCCAGAGCCATCACGCTTGGTGAGGACTGTCTAGAGAGGTCCAGGCAGATAACTGAAGCTGGAGTGTCATTCTCACCCTCTAATTGGTGAGCGCAGTTGAGGCAAGTTCTAGAGAATAGATTACCCCACATCAGGAAGTGTGCCTGGGCCTTCTGGAAGAACTGAGCTAATGGCCCATGTGGGCAGTGGGCTCTCCCTGCCTGGTGGCTGTTCTGTGTTGCTGGCTTTTCCCTTCTCGTGGAACCAAGAGGAATGTCTGTTACAGGTGAGGTCCACTGTTCAAACTGCAAAGAAGGGGCCATGTAGGAAGCCACAGGGACTCTGCAATCGTGGTGATCCTCAGAGCAGGTGGACCCTGGCCTGGGACAGCCTCTCTTCTGTCTCTGCTTGTGCTACTTACATCAGAGTTGTGAACAGATTAATAGGCTTGCCATTCTGACTGAGAACACTGCCTCTAGTTTGCAAATCCCAGCAACTTGTGTTCATCCTGAGGAAAATGATAAGGAGGTTCATTGGAAGCTTTTTTGAAGCTTGTGGACTGCCTGATAAATAGAATTTAAAGAGCCCTGGCAGTCAAGTGTCCTCCAAAGAGGGTTCTTTGACATACTAGGTAGTACTGGGGAGGGTGATGGTGGAGTCCATTGTGGACTCTGGCCCTCTTCCAAGGTGACCCAGCCATGGAGCTGACCAAGTGGAGTAGCTGGAATGGGCCTCAGCAAGACTGCAATCCTCTGAATCCTGAGACAGCCCTGAGAGAGCCTGCCTGGAATTGTGTCCATTTTTCCATCACGTGCTGGTGGTTTCATGGGTCAGCCCCAGGCAGTGTGGAATTACAGGGCATGTCATGGCTGACATCCTGGGTGCTGGCACCATAACCAGTGAGGCCCCCCAGATGCGCAGATGAACTGTGCAAATTCCAAATCTGCTGTCTGAGAGCTCTTGCACTCCTGTTCTTCTGAGCTGCCTGTGTTGGGCGCTGCCTGCATCTAGGCCTGGCCACTATGCATAAAGGCCAGTGCTGATGAGAGAGGAAGGTCACGTTCTGAGGTTGCTGGCTATTGACATTCCTCTTCTGTGTGAAGAGATCCGCCAGGGTGAGATAGAGCCTGCATATCACCGGGTTGGTACCACTCAACCTGGCATGGTGGGAATTGGGCTACCGAATGAGGCTCCAGTAGGGCTGGTATGAGAGCATAGTAGGCACAAGCAGAATGAGTAAAGATGGTGTTTTCTCTGATTCGTGACATGAATTGGGGCCTTCTAGAGCATTTTCTCTTGTGTGTCCTGGGTCAAGGCCAGCTCCAAGATGACAGTGATAGACATACCCTTCACAGCCACACTGCTTGACTGGTCAGAAACTAGTCTGATCCTGTCTCTATGGAAGCTGGAAGGTTAGGAACAGGGAAGAGTCTCATCTCCTTGTTCTTGTAGGCATTTGCCATGTAAGTACCAAAGTAGATGAGACTTAGATATTTTAGTAGTTTTACCACCCACCTTGGACCTGATCCGCTAGAGGTTGGACAGTATCAGAGCAGTCTTTGCTTCATATTTGAACTTTACTCCATGGAAGCATTAGCTAGCTCACAGTAGGTGCTTAGTGAGGCCATCTTGTTTTTCCAAGAGAGCTTCTGGAAGACAGTGGGTGTTTTGCTTGTCTGCTTGGTCCATCCAGGTTGGTGGCCTTTGTCCTCTCCGTAGCCATGCCTGTGCCTTTGAGGAAATTGGTGTGGCCACGCCTCTGGGCATCTATACCAGCTCCAAGTCACACTTAAGCAAGAGGAATCTTCTTAAGTTTAGTATACTTTAAGTTTAGTATATTTAGAATATTATGTCTGCCCTCCAAAGGTTCTGCAGGAGTGATCCATCAATCAGGCAGTGTCTGAATCAAGGGTTGCTAAGAAAGATGCTGACTATAAACATTTTATTTTGACTTAGAATACAATTAGAATGTACATAAACTCAGCAATTTAAAATTGTTGGTCATTGTGGACTTAGCTGGGTAGTTAGCACATGCTCTGTCTAGTTGTGGGGCCCCTGGATTTGGAATTGATCCTGTCTGCTCCTCTCCATATTTCTGTCTTCACATTAGTGACTCCTGCTGTGACCAAAGCTTCTCCCAGAGGGTGCAAGTTGGGACTCTTCACTATACGTGGACTGAGACGTGCTTACCAGCACCTCCCAGCTTTGTCTTTGTGATAATGCCTTTTTTGAGAGAGGATCTTGATGCACTTTATCTTTCTTGCACAGATGTATTATCTGCCAACTGAGCCTTTGTACTTTTTTTTCTTTTAAGATTTATTTATGCATACAGGACTGAGGTATAGGACAGAAGTACAAGGGTGGTGAGAGGATTCACCAGAGACAGAGCGGGGAGCAGAGCAGGCAAATACACTGCTGAGGGGAGCAGTGGGCGATGCAGCAGTGGTCTGCCATACCATGTGGGTCACTTCCGGGACTGGGGATCGAACTCGCACTGAAGCGTTGCAGTGCTGCGCTTCCACTGTGCCCTGCTTCCACTGCGCCACCAGGGAGGGCCTCTATTGCTCTTTTTAAAGATTTATTTATTTAAGCATACAGAAGCTGGGGTGTAGGCCAATGTGCAAGGAGTGAGTAGATTCACCAGAGACAGAGTGGGAAGCAGAACAGGCAAATTGATAGATATACACTGCTCAGGGGATCAGTGGGCGAGACAGGAGAGGTCTGTCATGCCATGTGGGTCAACTTCTTGGCCAGGGGTCAAATTTGTGCTTCAGTGGCTGCCAATAGCTTCATAGTGCTGAGACTAACCTCTTGTACAACCAGGAAGCTTCTTACTTTGTTTCTTTTTTTTTTTTTTTAAAGATTTATTTATGCATACAAGGGCTGGGGTATAGGCCAGAGGTGTGGGGGCGGGATGAGAAGATTCATCATAGAGAGTGGGGAGCAGCACAGGCAGATTGACAAGTACTGAGGGGAGCAGCGGGCAGGTCAGGAGAGGTCTGCCATGCCATGTGGGCCACTTCCCTGGCCGGGGATCGAATTCATGCAGCAGTGACTGTGGATTGCTTTATAGTGGTGCACTTTAACCCGTTATGCCACTAGGGAGGGCCTTTCTGTTTCTTTAGATTGAGAACTAGATTTTTGTGACTGATCCCAGTTTGAATTTTTACATCTCCAACTCCTTCATTGTTTCACCTTATCTAATTCAGAACTAATTTTTTAGTCACTCACCTTAGTTACCAAACTAAGTTAGTTTATAGCATATTTAGGGTAAATGACAAGTCATAAGTTAAGGTGGTACAGCCTCTTGGGAAGCAAATTAAACCATGGCCTTCAGCAGAAGCATGTCTGTAGGATAGGCAGCCGCGTGCCATTATGGGCCCAGAGTTGGATGGAGTCCCAGCATTATCTTTTTTTTTTTTTTTTTAAAGATTTATTTATTTGTGCACACAGAACTGGGGTACAGGCCAGAGGCTAGGGGCGGCGAGAGGCTTCACCAGAGACAGAGCGGGGAACAGAACAGGCAGATCGAGGAAGTACATTGCTGAGGGGAGCAGTGGGCGGGTCAGGAGAGGTCTGCCACGCCATGTGGTCACCTCCGGGGCAGGCGGGAATTGAACTCATGTGGAAGCGGCTTCAGATTCTCAGTGCTGTGCTTCAACCCGCTGTGCCACCAGGGAGGGCCCCAGCATTATCTTTTAAGCAGATGTCTCACAGCCCTTGGGACTTCAGAAGTCAGAAACCTGCCACCTTAGAAACATGGGTTGGATGGTAAGCAGTGTGGCATAAATAAAAATTTTTATTTTGGAAAAGTGTAAAGAAATAGCAAAGGAGAGAGAAACTACATGTTGTTTTCTACCATAGTACACCGAGTTGTGAGGCCAATGGGAACACAACATTTCATCAGAAACTCCTGTTGGATCAAAGTCTTGGTTTCCAGCCATGTCTTGGGGGGTGTGTAGCCTGCAGGGGGCCTATAGGTGCACCTGGTAAAGATGTTTATGTAGGTATTCACTGCCATGGGCCCACCTTGCTACCCAGGGACTGATAGGAGGAGCATGTGAGGATCGCTTGACACTTTCTGCGGTGACATTGCTGTGGATTGCTGTTCTGAGACCTGTCATTCAGTGCATGGGAACCATTAATATCTTTGGCCTGGCCCCTTTAAAATAGTGCACTTTATCTAAAAATTCAATGAATGTTTTCTTATTGTGGTAAAATGTACACAATTCACTATTTTTTTTTTTAAAGATTTATTTATTTATTCGTACAGAACTGGGGTACAGGCCAGAGATGCGGAGGGTGAGAGGATTCACCCGAGACAGA